GGTGTGCGTTGAAGATCTCGCGGACTGGGGCCTCTGCTAGACGTTCCCAGCACACATATAATAAAATAAATTATATTATATTGGAATAAAACAAACATTGCCTTTACTATGAACAAACATTTGGACTGCATATACAACAAATCTTACTGCAATAAAAGCTGTCCAAACATTTTCTTATATGTTCTACTTGAAGCTTTTAGTGCCTGATATGCGGTGTGGCTGTTACGGGGTGTCTTGTTGCTGCTCTTGCTGTATCTAACTTTTCATGTATGCACAAGAAAATTTAAAAAAAGCTTTGATGTTGCAGGTTTTAAAATTCTGGTCTTTCACAAACATGCATATACGCTAGAAAAATGATCAAAACTGTGATATGTTTCTTATTTGTTCATTTAGGAAATCCTGATGCTGCAGAGTTTCGCCAAAAACACAAGACTCGCCTAAAGAGGAAGTTCCAGTGTGTGTTTGAGGGGATCGCTAAAGCAGGAAACCCAACCCTTCTGAATCAGATCTACACAGAGCTCTACATCACAGAGGGAGGGACTTCAGATGTGAATGATGAACATGAGGTCAGACAGATTGAAACAGCATCCAGGAAACCAAACAGACCAGAAACGATAATCAGACAAGAAGACATCTTTACAGTCTCACCTGGAAGAGATGAACCAATCAGAACAGTGCTGACAAAGGGAGTGGCTGGCATTGGGAAAACAGTCCTAACACAGAAGTTCACTTTGGACTGGGCTGAAGACAAAGCCAACCAGGACATCAAGTTCATGTTTCCATTCACTTTCAGAGAGTTGAATGTGCTGAAAAAGGAAAAGTTCAGCTTGGTGGAACTTGTTCATCACTTCTTTACTGAAACCAAAGAAGCAGGAATCTGGAGCTTTGAAGACTTCCAGGTTGTGTTCATCTTTGATGGTCTGGATGAGTGTCGACTTCCTCTGGACTTCCACAAAACTACAATTTTGACTGATGTTACAGAGTCCACCTCAGTGGATGTGCTGCTGATAAACCTCATCAGGGGGAAACTGCTTCCTTCTGCCCGCATCTGGATAACCACACGACCTGCAGCGGCCAATCAGATCCCTCCTTCATGTGTTGACATGGTGACAGAGGTCAGAGGGTTCACTAACACACAGAAGGAGGAGTATTTCAGGAAGAGATTCAGAGATAAGAAGCAGGTAACCAAGATCTTCTCCCACATCAAGTCATCACGAAGCCTCCACATCATGTGCCACATCCTAGTCTTCTGCTGGATCACTGCTACAGTTCTGGAGGATGTGCTGAAAACCAGTGAGGAAGGTGAGTTGCCCAAGACCCTGACTGAGATGTACATCCACTTCCTGGTGCTTCAAACCAAAGTGAAGATGGTCAAGTATGATGGAGGAGCTGAGACAGATCCACACTGGAGTCTAGAGAGCAGGAAGATTATTGAATCTCTGGGAAAACTGGCTTTTGATCAGCTGCAGAAAGGAAATCTGATCTTCTATGAATCAGACCTGACAGAGTGTGGTATTGACATCAGAGCAGCCTCATTGTACTCAGGAGTGTTCACACAGATCTTTAAAGAGGAGAGAGGACTGTACCAGGACAAGGCATTCTGCTTCATCCATCTGAGTGTTCAGGAGTTTCTGGCTGCTCTTCATGTCCATCTGACCTTCATCAACTCTGGAGTCAACCTGCTGGAAGATCAACAGGCAACATCTTATTTGCCTGAAGTGTTTACAGAAATACATGAACTAAAATATCTCTACCAGAGTGCTGTGGATAAGGCCTTGGAGAGTCCAAATGGACACCTGGACTTGTTCCTCCGCTTCCTCCTGGGTCTTTCACTGCAGACCAATCAGACTCTCCTACGAGGCTTGCTGACACAGACGGGAAGTAACTCACAGGACACAGCCCAGTACATCAAGAAGATGATCAGTGAGAATCTTTCTGCAGAGAAAAGCATTAATCTGTTCCATTGTCTGAATGAACTGAAGGATCGTTCTCTAGTGGAGGAGATCCAACAGTCCATAAGATATGGTAGTCTTTCTACAAATGAACTGTCTCCATCTCAGTGGTCAGCTGTGGTCTTCATCTTACTGTCATCAGAAGAAGATCTGGATGGATTTGACCTGAAAAAATACTCTTCTTCAGAGGAGGCTCTTCTGAGGCTGCTGCCAGTGGTCAAAGCCTCCAACAAAGCTCTGTGAGTACAAGACATCTACAAACCCATGTATAGAAATGTTTGTGCAGTATAAAGTAGAAATAAAAGAAAACCTAAACACAGAATTATTACAATAGTCATTGAAAATGGTACTAATATTAAAATCACTGTTTGAAAGGTTTTCATTTTGTATTTAATATCAGTAACGCATCAAGGCAAAAAACAAAAGAAGAAAAAAAAGACTGGGCAATCTAAAACCTAAAACGACTAATGTTCTTTTTATGCAGGGTATTAAAAGAGCATGACAAATAAACTGAAACTTTTTAAAATAAAAACGGGGAGGACAAATAGTTCAATAATTTAAAAATCTTTCTCATTGCATAACTGCAGATAATTTGGAAATTTAATTGTTCACAGAATCCAGTGAAATGCAGGAAACAAGGATCATCTAAGCAAAAGAACCTTTTGTTAAAATAAATCATTGGAGGGTCTCACAGACACTTTAAAGAACATTGTCGTCTTCCATAAATGCAAATCAAAGTGTTCTATAAACATGTTCTTATGTTCAAAAATGATTTAAATTAAACTGAGATCCCCATAAATATGGTAAGATAAGATATGATGTAAAACAGATGGATAGATTGTTTACTGCTAAATTTCCCTCAGTTTAAACAGGTGACATATTGCCTTTGTATACATTTCAATAAAAAGTCGGAGTTTAATTATTTGCAAATGACCCTTTTAACTTTACCTATGTTCCATGAAGAGGTTTGAACTGCATGTGTTATTCGTCCATTGAAAAACCCCTGGCAGTCAAGGTGCCATGCAAAGTGGCCTTACAGTTCAATGTCTTGTCCAAGACAGATCGAAGAAATATTGGATCAAACCACTAATCCTGTGATCAGTGGACATTCAATTCTACTATCTGAGCAATAGCCTTTTTTTTTTTGGCTTTCATTCTTAAATCTTTCTCAGGCTCAGCTGTTGTAATCTCTCAGAAAGAAGCTGTAAAGCTTTGTCATCAGTTCTCCGCTCCCAGTCCTGTAGGCTGACTGAGCTAGACCTGAGTAACAACAAACTGCAGGATTTAGGAGCGAAGCAGCTGTGTACTGGGCTGGAAAATCCACATTGCAAACTGAAAATTCTCAGGTCAGATTACAGCTAATTTTGGATCAATTAAAGCCTGTTTTCTGTTTATGTCACTTAATTTTTATTAATATTTACATTTTGTGTTAATATCGTCTAAACCAGGCTCTCAGGTTGTATGATCACAGCGGAAGGTTGTGTTGCTTTGGCCTCAGCTATGAGGGGCAACCCCTACCATCTGACAGAGTTGGACCTGAGCTACAACCATCTAGGAGACTTTGGAGTGAGGCTGCTATCAGCTAGACTGAGAGACCCGCTCTCCACACTTGAAACTCTCAGGTAATGAACACACAAAGTATTTTCCCTTGAGTGACAAATGTCCCCAGTGAATGAGTAGACTCATCAACATATTTTGCATCACACCACACTAGGAAGCACAGGCTGTGGAGGAGGAGAGGCCCCAATCTTCATTTCTAGCTTATTGAATTAACCATACATCTGGACAGTTATTTGGTAATTCCCCTTGGATTCTGTTTATCTCGATAAGCTCTTTTATCTAGCGCTTGTTGAAACCTTTCATTTTATAAAAGGCTTTGTGAAGTTTTCTGATACCCTCTGTTTTCTCGAGCTATGAAAAGTTTCCCAAATATAAAAGCTGTCCATTTATCTTTTTAAAAAATAAATAAATTAAAAACTCAAAGCAATACTATATAAATGACTATATTAAATTAAACATTGTACAGTTCATGTTCAACATTTAATACGCGTTGAAAGTTGGATAGACAATCATTGTTTTTGCATTTTGTTCTCCAGGGTGGACCATAGTGGTGAACAGTGGTTAAAACCTGGTCTGAGGAAGTGTAAGTTTGACTAATGATGTGAAACTTTCTAATTAAATCCAAGTCATTATCATTAAACTTTCTACAAATGACAGCATATCAGTAATTACAGAATAAAGCCATTAGATGTGTAAGATAAAAACTGTGCCCTCTTGTAAACTTTTTATTTATTCTTGCCTTCAGATGTCTGTGATCTTGAACTGGACACAAACTCAATAAACATAAACCTTAAACTTTCTGAAGACAACAAGATGGTGACAGTTGTGGAGGAGGAGCAACCATATCCTGATCATCCAGACAGATTTGGTTGGTGGCAGCTGCTGTGTAGAAATGGTCTGACTGGTTGTTGTTACTGGGAGGTTGAATGGAAAGGAAGAGTTCACATATCTATTAGTTACAGAGGAATCAGAAGGAGAGGACACAGAACTGACTGCAGGTTTGGAGAGAATGATCGGTCATGGAGTCTGAGCTGCTCTGATACTGTTGGTTACTCCGTCTGGCACAATAACACAGTTACAACCATCTCCTTCTCCTCGCCCTCCTCATCCTCCATGTCTAACAGAGTAGCAGTGTACGTGGACTGTCCTGCTGGGACTCTGTCGTTCTACAGAGTCTCCTCTGACACTCTGATCCACCTCCACACAGTCAACACAACATTCACTGAACCTGTGTATCCTGGGTTTGGATTCTGGTCTTATGGTTCCACATTGTCTCTGTGTTCTTTGAAGAATGAAGAAGAAGAAAACCCTTTGGACATTTAGACACAATCTCAAAGTCTGTAATAGAAATGTCAAACGTTCAAATCATTGATTGTGATTTAATGCTGTTCTATCTTATAAGCAGAAGTAGCTGAACAAATGTTTTTACAGATTTGGTATCAGGACACCAAATATATAAAGCCGTGAAGGTTAATAGTTAAACTGAGTTTTTTAAATTTATTATTCTGCTGTTTTTTTGTGTGTCAAACACATTTGGTTTACCAAGAGGAGAGACATAGACTCTCTACAGGATCCTCTTGTTACTTTCTTAAATTTAGATATGTATTTATTTTATTGTATTACTCATAATATTATCTGTGTCATTATGATAGGGCTGATGGGCTGATTTTTAAAAATTAAACATGTGCTGCACATGAATAGTGCAAATAAAAGACTGAATCTTTTTAATGACTTGCTTCTGTAAATAAAAAAAGACAAAATGTTAAAACCCGTTTAAAACACGACCGCTGACATGAACACAGTAGGAGTTTAGAGGAAGAAACAGGTTTGATGTATCGCCATCATCAACTACCCTGTTGGCAAGTCTGATGGAACTTTTTTACACCTGCTCTTAAGTTAACCACATACCTTCAGCAGGATGACCAGTGGGATACAGGAGAACCACAGCTGCCCTTCTTTAATGGCTACTTTAGGCTGGTGGTGGATACCACTACTGGGAGGCAAGGTACCTTCAGTGTTTGCTTATTTGCAGAAGGATCACAACAGCACCCTTCTTGCAGGTTTCCTGTTTATCTGGGCTTGACACTGCCTGTAAGTACACTTGAGTGACCCAATGAGGCTGGGTTTGTGTCTCCTCCCAGAATAAAACTGAGACTCTTTTACGGTACTCTCAGAGCACAACAGAGAATTGATAAGTTGATATCAATAAGTTCTTATCAATTCCCAACTGCAAATTCAGAGAGTTATGATCTGACATAAAGATTTATACAGTTAATGTTTAATGAGTTTAAAGAGTTCAAGGGTCATCATGTGACTGTTAGTGCAGCTCTGTTATCAGATTTCCTTAAGGCAGCCCCTGAATTTGAAGAGTTAAGAGCTAACACACTTAAAAACCTTGAATGGTGTGAGTTACATCTTTATCCTCTTTGGTCAGTCTCATTGTTGGATGAATAATTTGACTTTCTCTTCCAAAAGTAAACCTAATCTTAAATCATTTTAGTGTGAGTGGGTGTTGCTGTTAAACAGCTCTTATAATAGTTGAGCTAGTAGAAAATATTGTGTTATCTTGTTGAGTTTTATTGTTATGTTCAGGTAGAATATCTGAAATTATTTTTGAACATTACAAAAACCAATTGAGGAGTTCTCATATCATTAAACCATTACAGATTTTCTATTTTCGCTCTCTATAAATGTTTAATTTTTGAATTAATTCTTCTTTTGTCTTATTGCTCTTCTAATTATGCAGCACTTCCTCAGATGTGTCTTCGGGGGTTCAGATTTCTTGGATTTAAAAATTCTACTTTGCTTCCACTGCAGTTAGACTCCCGTTTATGTCACATTTTAGTTTTTTCAATATGTAAACCTGTGGAGGTACCTGAGACCTTTTATGATCCATCCAGCTGAGTACTTTGGTTTTGTGGCTATGGGGTTTTGTATGATTGCATTTGTGCTTTCGAGATTAAGGAGTTTAAAACAGCTCATACAATGAATCAGATTCAGTAAAAGGACTAGATATTACAATCCCTGATTGCTCATGTGACACATCGCGGACATCCTCTCAGTTTTGTACATATTATTTGTATTGCACTTCGGTTTTTTTGCAAACGGGAGCTTTCTGTATAATATTGGTGACGCTGAGCACGTTTCCATAGCTACCGTCTGTCGGGCAGTCAGGAATGTTACAGTTGCACTGAAACGTCTCCTGCACTCGTTTGTGGTGTTCCCCGGTCATAGACCTACAACATTTATCAAAGAGGGATGCCACAAAATTGCAGGTATCAGGATGAACAAAACTTAATTCATGATGTGGTGATATTTGAACTACTACTTAAATTTTACATTTATTCTCACGGTTCCCAGGTGTGATTGGCTGTATAGATGGCACTCACATTCCAATCATTGCTCCTTTAGTAAATGAAGGAGACTATGTGAACAGGAAGTCTTTCCACAGCATTAATGTACAGGTACATAGTTCCCTGTAGCATTTCAAACTAACAAATTATTTCATTATAGTAATGGATGCTAATTTGTGTTCTCTGCACTGTGAAGATCATATGTGATGCTGCCAACATTATCACAAATGTGGAAGCCAACTGCTCAGCCTCTGTGAGTGGTGGTGGTGGAGGACCCCCACCTGTTTTTCGGGCCTCCGCTTTTTTTTCTGTTGGCTATAACGGGTCACATTTGAGCATACAGAGTAAGCAAATATGTACTTGTAATGTGCTCAGATAATTTCAATAAGTGCTTACAGAGGGGAAATTAATGTAGCCTCTAACTGCAATTGATTTACATAGGACAAACAGACCAAGCACTATGGCTCAATACAATTACACCTCACCTGTTTGGACTATATTTTTATATTCCATTTTTACTTGCTGCCAGGAACGTTTGGGGCCTGTTGGGTTGCACCTGCGCTCAAATCACAACACAAAATGAAATGTATAAAATAAAAAATAGAATAAAATAGAATAAAATAACGTGTTAAATGGGTGGAAATCCCTAGATCAATGTTTAAATTAACACTCACGCATTGACTCTGTCGGCTATGTTTTGCCATGCATGCTCCCTTTCTTTTGCAGCTGAGGCTGTGTTACTTTTTTTCTGCGGAATTTGCATGTTATCGGCATATGCTGCCATCAGAATTTCGGACTCAAGCGCTGTAAAATACATTGACCGCGCCTTCTTTCCCTCCGTCTCCATGGTGACTCGCTTAATCTGTGCTCCACTAATCAGGGCTTTATGTATCCTCGTGCGCGCGCTTAACTTGTTATGCTGATGGAAACACCTAAAATCAGTTTGATTTTAGGTGTTTCCATCAGACTGGCAGTATGAAAAGGAAAAAAACAAAACGCTTGGACACTGCTAGCACAGGCGCCCACAGAAACGCAAAGCAGGAGATGAAGCATCGCTGAATAAGTTTCCAAACCAACTTCATTCTAAGCCAAAGACTAGAAAATATGGTGAAGCATATCTTCCCTTTGGTTTCACCTGCACAAGTGCCAAGGTAGGTCTCCCCTGCAGAATTGGTTTTCCCTTTGTCGGGAGCATGCGCTGGGCTGTTCAAATCACGGACAAACAGTATCCCACATTCTTGATTTTTAGTTCACAAACACTTGTTGTAATGACTAACTACTCCTGACATTTTGGAGATGTTAGCTCTGTATACAGTAAAGTTACAGCGGGATAAAAATAATATCAGGTTGATCCTGCCAGGATTTGTCCCCCGATTCAAATCACGGACTAACAGCATCCCACAGCTGTTTATGTTTTTAGAGAGGCATTTTTTGAAAAATGTATTGATAGCAATGTTGAATATTATTACACAGAAGAAAAAAAACAACTACATGTAAAATAATCACACCGTGAAGCTTCTGCCTTTGTAAATGGAGGGACAGTAACTGCGTGTAAAACCTGAAGACAGTCAGAATAACAGTAACAGTATTTCATCTCTATGTCCCATTCTGCAATTCATCTCATGTAAACAATAACGTGGCGCCCAGCCTGACGTGAAAAGAGGCACATTCCTTTGACGTTGCCAGACAAACTCTGTATTCCTCATCCGCAAAAAAAAGGTGTTTTAAAAATTCTCCGTTTTCAGTGATTCGAAATGCCGTTTACGTGTGGATGCGTTTTCAAAAATACCCATGTAGGTGCGGACGTAGCGTAAAAGAGTTAGTAGTTTATTTTATTACTAACTGTCATTTATTGGAGGTTACTTGTACTTGCTTAATTGTTTACTTAATGTTTGAGGTGTGAAATAAACCGCAATGGAGCAAAATATGGGTGTGTGTGGTTGGAGGATGTGTTAGTGCGTGTGCGTGGCTCCACATCAGCCACGCCGCTTTGCTAGCTAAAACACTGGTGTTGGATACTTTTGCCAGAAAAAAAAACAGAGGACGGCTGAAGCGGGGCAGCCAAAGAGTAAACTCTTAAAAGTAAGTACTGAATATTATGTCACTTATTTATGTGCAAATGCTTAATAACAAAGAACATTAAAACATTACTGTTGGCCACATGTCGGCAAAGTTATGTGACATTAGCAATGTTTGTACTAACTTGGCTTTAAAGCCTTTACTTTAAAATATACTCCGTTCAAT